GCAGCCGCAGCGCCTCGAGGCGCGAGGGCCGCGCGCCCAAGGCCGCCACCACCGCAGCCGCCGGTCGCAACGACTCCTGGCTGCTGGACGAGGCGGAGCCGGCTGGCTCCACGACGCGGGGACCGCCCCGCCCCGCGCCCGCGCCCTCGCCATCCGGGCGGCTTCGGGCCAGGCGGCGCCGAGCCAGGGTGTCGCAGGGCATCAGGTGGTGCGAGCTGAAGGAGGGCCGCCGCGCCAGGTGCCCCCCGGGGGCCGAGCCACCCTCAGTGTCCGTCTCCACGTGGCTCAGCTCGCTGCGCTCGTCGTCCGCCTCGTCCCCCGCGCCCGTTCGCCGCCCACCGGCGCCTGAGCACACGCTGCGGTCCATGGTGGACAGCGTGGAGTAGCCCGAGACGATGGAGCGCGTGTCCGCAGCCGGCCGCTCCTCCTGCGCCGCCGGGGGGCTGAGGCGCCCGGGGGCCTCGGGGGCGGGAGCGCCCGGCAGCCGCTCCTCCGGCTGGTCCTGGGTGCCCGGCGCCTCCGCCCCGGGCTTGTGCGCCTCCTGCTCCGAGTCGTCATCTGTGCTGCTGCCCAGCCCCCGCGCCTCCCGCCGCTTCTTCCTCTTGCGGTTGACAGCCGAGATGAAGGAGATCGCCAGCATCTCCCGGGCGTACGGCTCCTTCTTGGGGGCCCACGAACCCTGGGTGGGCGACAGGTCAGTATGCAGGAGGCGCCCAGACTTGCGCCAGCACAGCCCTCTGTTCCAGCCCCAGGCCAGAGGGCCTCAGCTCCCTTCACGTTCCCACCTGGAGACCGCCCCCGACACACATACTATGGCATCCAATCTCAACAGGTCCAAGCCCAGCCCGGCACCCCGCTGGCATCATAACGGTTCCTTCTGGACTGCTGTCCCAGCTGGAGTGTCACTATCCCCCTTCTGCCCCTCTCTCAGCCCTGAGGCCTCCCCTCCTTACCCCTTTCAGTCTTAATCGAGACTCTCAGCTCTTTCCTGTGAGCTGGGGGCTGGTCTAGAAACTGCCACCCCTAACTTCATTCCATTCTCCATATCCAGCGCTAGATAAATCCTTTTAGACACAGCTCTGGTAATAAATAGTCTCTCAACGGTGAATCAGTCCTTGACAGTTTGAACCCGTTTCACATAGACTGTTCTGGGTTATGATTGATCATCAGAGCCTGGCAGGGACCTTTGTCTGACCACAGCTCCCAGGCCTCTCCCTCTCCACTCACTCCCACCTGGGACACCTGCCTTTCCATCTACTCAGCATGTACAGGCCTCTCCAGGCAACCTACCCAATTTCACTTCCCTTTCCCACAGCACCCCACCGCTATACATTTCAGCCATCCCCTCAGGGCCCTACCCTGATAATTCCCAACCCCAGATCAATCCAAACGCCAGCTCTGCTACCAAAAGTGCTAAAAGGCCCTGCACCATCCAATGAGTTGGATTGAAGCCACTCCCAAACTGTGATTTCCATCCCCCAAATGGGAAACTTCCTGCTGCTGTTCTCAAGGCTAAGCCTGGTAGGTATGTTTTAGTCCTGGCCTTCCCTGATCCCCCAGCAGAACCCATGCTGCCCATCTCTGCCTCCTCCGACTTGGTTTTTAGTCCTCCCTTTCTGGCCTCTCCTCTTGCCTTCTGGGGGGTAGGGGAAGGTTCTTCTTCATCCTCTCAAACCTTAAGAAGCGGTGTGCCCAGGGCTCTGTTTCAGCCCCCTCTTTTCTCTCTCTGTTCATGTTCCCTGGGAAATACTCTTCCTGAACATCCTTGCTCCCAAGGCCCCCTGGTCCAACACCAAACTCTATTTGAGCTCAGAACTCTCCTTCCAAATGCAAGTTCATCTCTACCAGGGTGTCTGCAGGCACTGGGAACTCACCTGTCTAGAACCACATTGTGCTCTCTACCCCTGCCCCAAACTACCTCCCTTCATGTTCCCCATCTTTAGGTGATCTCTGATTCCTCCCTCTTCCCTCCTCTCGATTCTCCTGCTGAAGTGACTCCCAAAGCCATCTCATCCCCATCATCTTCCATTCAGGCCCTCATTCTGCCTTTTCCGGACCTCTCTGCCCTCTCACCCACTCCTGATAGGACCTCCACCTTGCCTCACCCCAGTCCCTCCTCCTTAGAAGCAATCAATCCTCCTAAGGGAAAGCAGGACTCTGGTTACCTCGGGGCTCTCCAGGACCCCACCCCCACCAGGATGAAGCAAGGACACAGGGCCAGCCCTTCACAACCAGGTCCCAGTTTTCCCAGCCTCGTGCCCTCCCTGCCCTGATCCCAACCCCAACACAGCCTTCACTCTGGCCATGCTGACCTACAAACCCTTCCCTCAATAATGACTTGCACTTGAACACTGGCAGCCCTTAGTTGCCCGCCCCCCAACACCACACCATTTGCTGATGAGCTCTTACTCCTCCTACCAGGCCCAGCTCAAACATGGCACCATCTTCTGTGCAGCAACCTCCCAGCCCTCTCTGGCTGAACTGGGAAATCCCTGATCTGTTCCCATAGCCCTTTGAAAACACACCTACACCAGTTCTTCTCATATCAGAATAGCTTTGTTTCCACATTATCTATATCAAACTCTGAGCACCTTGAGAGCAAGGTCTGTGGCTGATTCGTGTTTGCATCCAGGATTCCTGGCACTGTGCCTGGCACATAATAGGTGCT